TGAAATCAAAATAGAGGAGAGCCATTGCTCTGCAACTTCTTTGCCCCACATTAAGCTGTAAAATAAAGTGAAGGTTGCTGCAGTAAGAGTTGTAGCAAAACAAAGCAACCATGCTAGGTATACGCAAAAGTGAGGCAACATGCAACCATCGTCTTTTACTCTGTCGATGAGTTCTCGGGCGTGATCCACTTCCCGATATTTGTCTGCTTTTGTATTCCTCGGCTTGCTTGATTTAAAGAGCAAAACAATGACTACATTTACAGGTGCAACTATCAGTCCACTTTGCACACCAACAACGATTTGTCTCAACGAAACCTTGAAGGGTCCAATGTAAATAGCACCCTCTGATTCCCCACCAATGTTATAGAACATAGCATTGGCAATCATGGCGCTGAAGAGAACTGAAAGGCAGCATGAAGCTCTTTGCACACGAGTAAACGAGCTGCTACAGGCCTTGCCAAAGACAGACATCCACAAGTGACTGTCTGCAATTTTTCTGCCGAAACGGCTGCGAACTTGATCTGAGAAGGAACCCAAATTTCCATGCTTTACGGTAGCTTCTGTTAAACCATCACCTTTTTCTACCGCAAGCCATCTGTTTATTGGGAAGGTCCATTGTTCTTCTTTTTGTCTGTCTCGGATTGTCACTGTTTCCACAAACCAAGAAGGGCCGCGCCCTGAGTTGTCATGTTCTAAGGTTATTTCTTTCAACGTTCCCAATGATTCATCAGTGATCAAAACAAATCCGTTTATACCTCCTCGTGCAAACAGATCACTTGACTCGTCTTTCCTACGCAGTGGAATGTGATTGTGCTCATCTAAGTCACCTTTAATACTGATTGTCACGTTTGCTGTTGTACCCGAATTTTTCCAAACGCCTGTGCAAATTACCATGTCGTAATAATAGGTCCCTTCTTCCACAATGGGTACACGCTTTGGAGGGCATATCTAACATGTTGAAGCAAAATTTCGTTATAACATGACGCTGATGTAATCAAATTGAATCTTACTGGCGAGACAAAAACTGCTGATCAAACAAAACTACAAATAGTGTAGCGCGAGAAACGAGTAATTTTAATAGACCCATAGAACCGCCACAGCGTAGCGGATCAAAATATTAAACCTTTTCTCCCACTGAAATAAACGGCGAAACTTGGTTTTAATATTATGTAACCGTGCTAGGTCATGTTCGGTCATGCAACAGTTTAACTTCATCACATGTATATACCAAAGGGTCTGCATACATATGCGTCTTTTCAGTCGCGATCTCCAGTTTCTAAATTTGGGTGATCGCGTTTGCAATCTTAAAAAAGTATGGCGGGACGCTGGAGCTATTGGAGGATACGCATTGAGTAATACTCCGCGCCTCGTTGAATGGCCTGGGTACGAGAAATTATAGTTAGATGTGTGTTTTCGAAGGCCACTTTTGGACGGTCGAAAACGATGAGAAAATGATCGGTAAGCGACAACTATTTAGTCTGGACACGGCCTTGGTGTTAACACCGCGACCAAATGCCTGCAGATGAGGCTAGAGTGTCACTAGATACCCTACAGATAATACATTTATTTTCACACATACCTTGTTTTCATCTCTTTTATCCGCTTTCCTCGCAAAAACTAGTACAACAAAGTAAAGAAGAAACGCACAAGCAATGGTCACCAGTACGGAAATGTTACCACTCCCAGCAAGGTTTGCAAACTCTGAGAAAACTTTGTCAAAGTCTATTGGATTTGGTGCTTGAATAAAGTTACCCCCGAAGGAGGTAAGGTGATTACAACGGCAAATGAGATGGGTGATATTCGACCTGGGATCAACCTACGAAAGAAGACTCAGTTATTAGCAACAATGCAAAGGAGAAGGAAAAAGATTTGGAAGATGAGACAAAAAGAATGTATAGGGAAACGAGTTAGCACTGATTGCCTCATTTTTGCTTCAGGCTCCTCAATGCTGTTCAAAAGCAAACAGTTTGAATGTGTAATGTTAGTAATATGCTATATCGCATCATTGAAAGGCGGAGATAAGTTAAAGGAAGAAGCAATAATATTTTTATTTTTCTTACTTTTGTGCGGTGACATTTTTAAAATTGACAAAATCTGTTAATGTCAAGATTTAAAAATTGAGCAGAATGCTGAACCAAACCCTAGGTTCGCATTTTACAGTTTTATTTAGCTACAATCTTGGACAAAAATTGTTAGGAATTTTGTACTTTCTTTTCCACAGAACGCCTATCCCACGTATTTGGTACCGTTATGGCCCCTCCCCTCGCCCCACCCTGATCATAGTTGTTCATTCGGAATGAGAAATGATCTTATCTTCCCCGCAGCCGTTTTTGTCCCGTCACGCAACGCTCCTCCCCAACAAAAGGCTGCTCAAATTTGAACCTCGTTCCACTTTGGGGAGGAGCGTATTTGACGAGACAAAAACGGCTGTAAGTGAGACTAGTAATATTCCAGCCAGATTTCAACACTATTTTTTTATGGGGGGAGGGGGAGTATTTGTAGTTGTTAGTGTTTTCAAGAACTTTATCTTGAAACTAGACATGGCAATGTCCATTTTCTTAACATTTTTGTCGAAGATTGTAGCACGCGTTTGTAATACTGAGAAGTAACCGTGTACCCACCCTGCCCTCCCTGGGTTCAATCGGGGTTTCCTAGAGCAATAAGGACTCACAGAGTCCCAAAGATGGTAGGGTGGTCAAGTTAATATTACATCATTTTTTACGAAGAAGAAATTAACCTTGGAGACCCAGGCCGAGGGAAGGGCGAGTGTTTCAAGTGCATAGGCGCGTCAAGAACTTTAGGTTACCTTGCAACCATCAGATATCCACTTGCTCCTATCTTCAGACCAATACAAACAGCTTGATTGAGTAATAGTCATTGTATAGTTAACATCCGTTGAAGGGTTGTACTGCGGAGTAACCGTTTTAGTGAAACCCTTTGGCGGTGGATCTTTGAAGCCAACACAGGAGCGCCTTTGACGACCGTGGCCGAAACAAGATCTTTTTTCTCTGGAGTGTTCACTGGTATTTGTAGCACCCACGAAAAGAATTCCGACATAAAGCAGACCTCGTTTTGGTGGCACCACCAACATAGATGTTTCCTCTGGAAGACAGGACAAGCTGTTGCTTTTGCCATCTGTTTGGTTTTCACACTCTGATTTAAACTCTCGAGTAAAATTGTGATCGTGATTGTCAACTGTGGGCCTTAATCCAAATTTAATAAACACTTCAATAACAAAGACACCTATTTCCGTAATACCCATCTTTATGGTCACTGGGACGTCCGCAAGGTCCGCGTAGTAACTTCGGATAGTCATTTTATTTGGCCTTAAAAAGGAATGTTCAGGTACATCGCTGTTGTTTGTATTGTTTGTTGGTGACTCTGAAATTGGTATCACTATTACGATGTCTTCTTTAAGGTTCGATACATTTATTTTTGTCCCATTATTACTTTGAAGTTCGAGGCTGGTTACTGGAGACTGAATCGCATTGCTGCTGTTGTCCCAGGTGTAAGGGTTAAACTTCAATGTCAGCATCTGCGTAAAATAGAAAAAGTGGGATGCCGCGATAGACTATATACGTACAGATAGGCTTAAAACCTGTTAATTTTTTATCTAATAAAAAAAAGCCACTTTCCCTTGCCTATAATTGGTAGAAAGAGAAAAAAACAAATTGCGCTATCATTCCGTTTATTCTCTTACGGACCATAGCTGTCGGCCAATGAGGAGGCGATGTTCAAGTTGACAAGCAGGATTTATTTAACTAATTCATCATAATCATCATTAAAAGGGCTATATTATGGTAAATTCTACAGCTGGGCTGAACTCATCCGTAAGTATACTCAGTCACCTTTTCCCATACTTGGAACTCGAAAGAAAGCTATCAAATGACTCTATCAAAGAGAAAACAGTTATAGCTTCAGGGCAGTCTACAAGAAAAAAGTTTTTAATTCTAAAACGTTGGCCAAACTTCTTCAAGTTGCAATCCGTCTCGATCCCAGCAATTTAAATCCAAAGTCCCACACTTATACACATGTAGCTTAGGTTAGTAGCTGAGGTATAGTAGTAGACTAGTCTTAAATAAAACTGGACCATAAATTCAGGGTTTTCAGTTATTCCAATCTGTTTTTAGGGTTTTAAAGTGGTACCAAAAAAACCTGGAACGTTTATATGGGCGGTTCTCGAACCATAAATAGGCCGACGTTCTTCAAAGGAACAAAAAGTCCCTTACCTTTGCATTTACGTTATCGGTGCCCATTTCTCCCAGGTTTCTTGGCAGCTGAAACTTTGATGGTCCTTCTTCCATGGTCCTTCTTCCATACTAAGTCCATTAACATCCTTTGGAGAGACCTTCTTAAGGGATGAAGCCAGATTTGCAGTTTTAATGATCATACTTTCGGAAGGAACAAGGCGAACAAAAAACCCATCGTTCATAGCGTTTAAATTTTTTGAGGCTCTTAGTACGTTCTCCTGCAGTCACAAAAGAAATAAGTTAAAAATAGAATCCTGGCTACAAAATGTAACACACAACCTTTAATTGGCTAAAACATTTCCATACATAACAAATCTTAAAGTGTGGCGCTCCACCGGTAAAAAATGGACATTTGAAAAAAATGTTTTTTTACGGGTCATGGATTTAAATAGCTTGAATTAGCATCAATATTTGAAGTAACTTTCAGAATATCCAGAACAGTACATCTTTGTCAGATTTATTTGGCAAATATTGTGAAAGGGCTCCATAGAGAGGCTTCCAAGCAAACAATAATATAATGCCTGAGCAGAGGACTGGGGTTGGGGGCTCCTCACGGTGAACACTAACGATTCAGCTTTCGATATGGTAACTTTAGTCGTGAACTTCCTTTGACAGATTCGTAGAAGTCTTGAATTCAACGTTTTTTTAATATAGCTTCAAATTTGACAACGTAACATGGAAATTTAAAAAAAAATTAGGAAATAATTGAGTGTCCACACTAACGGGAACGTTGTATTTTCTAAAATTCTCAACCTTATCACGTGCCTTAGCTTCCGCTGCTGCTCCGTTCGATCGGCTGGATGCAGATTGTAGTACATTGTTAAGGCAGCTAGTGACACTCGTTGCTGCTTCATCTAACTCAGCACTGAAAGGCTGCTCGAGGTCATTTAGAACCGACAAAAGCAGGCCGGTTGTTTTCACTGTCACTTCTGTTGCTTTATTCTGAAATAATAAATATTTATTAGTTCAACGAAACACGATTTTGCCACGTTGTTGGTTCAGAAAGACAAAGAAGGAAAACTAAGATTTTAAAAAGGATTAGATTAAACTGATTGGATGCGGGATCTATGAATACACTTCTGCAGCGATAAACTTTTAATTTATGAAAGTGTTCACTGTTTTCTATTTATAACAAAATATTCTTTGCAAATGCGTCCAGGAATAAATAATATACCTCAAACTATGGGTATAATGTCTAAGAAACAGTAATTGATTTTCGAGTTTATTAGCCCACAACACAGAATGCAATTTTTTGTACGATTCTGATTGGTTTAAAAAGTTCAATTTACTTACATTGCACTACGAAGCATGTATATTAATGCAAGACTAATTTACTTGGGCGAGAATTTCTAATTGTAACCTTTTTGTGTCTCCAACTTTTAGGATCGGCGTTTAAACGTTTCGGAGCAGAAGAGATATCCTCTTCAAAATGGGGTTCAATTCCACTTTATTTACAATTGCGAGGTCGATGGATTTTCAATATGAATATGCGATGGCGGATCAAGGGGGGCTGAGGGACCGCCCGCGCCCCCTTACTTTGGGGACTGGATGAGCGGGTCCCCTACTTACTTAAAGATCTGAATTCGCAACGTCTACGAAACCATTTTCTTATGGACCGCCGAGCAATAGGAAATAGTAATTTTTATATGTCTTATTACTTAAGCAATGTGCTGGTTACCATGACGTCACTGCAGTCATCGCATGTCTGCTCTCGTTGTTCTCCAGTCGCCACTTTGACTACCGCCATAATCGTTCGAGACATTTGCAGGGTCTCTGGGTTTATTGATGTGAATTTCTCCACTAATGTGGTCGAAATCTGGTACCGTTCAAAGGCGTTACATGAAGTTAACAATCAAGGAGATAACGCGTTAATATCAAACTAAAAAGTGCTTCAATAAATTTTGCAAACTCGGTGCATATAAGCATTATTTTTGACTACCCAACTAACCCTCTTGACTCATCAAACAGAGAAATGGCACAATGTTCACCTCCTGCATTGCATTGCATTAGGAGCAAGGGTACAGTCGTGGTTTGTAGTGTAAAAAAAAACGTGTCAAACTGGATAAGGCACCTAAAAATAGCACATGACCTTATCTTCATGTGATTCCACCGCATTTTTATATTTCCGCAAGGAGAAAGTTTCTACTGTAATTTAATGAGTTTCCTTAGCAAAAAAAGGAGTAAAACATCCCTGTCATACTAATTGAACATGAAGGCAAAATCCTACTTAAGTCTTCTATCAGCATCCTTAGAAGGGACGTGTAGAGTCCACATCGGAGGACGTGTTGCTCACGATGACTCTTACTGCTTAGATCAGAGCACTAATAGCCATTCCAAGGGCATATTTTTGTTGTACTAATGATATATTCTGCTACTAAAATGCCCTGTACGCATTTTATCAATTCTCAGATTTCTCAAGCCTCATCGTGATCCATGCAATAAGTGCCCAGAGTCATCCTTCATCCTTCTTAAAAGGTAAAAACCTTTATTAATTCCATTATTTTACTTACCGAACTTTTTACTTCTACGCTTAAGCCTTCTCCACAATCTGGCGTCTCATTGGCTGTCTTCAAGACAGTTAATGCAAGCTGTGAAGCCTGGCTGATTTCACCTTTTCTTAAAAGTTCATCCAACTTACAGTCCTTCACCGCGATAAGGCCATTTAGCATATTGGCTACTTCGTCTACTGGTGTATAGCAGGGGTTAAATTTGGAGGATGGCTTCACCTGTAAAAGGATTAGCAATGAGTTTATTCATATCGCGGCTTAGCAGTTCGTGTCCTACACCTTTGCTTAGCATAACATATATTTTCTTGTTACTCTATTTTTGCAATGTATTTTTTAATGTGCGTAGCGGCTATATGTTCTTTCGGCATAGCCAAAAACTATTCCATAACAAGCTTTATTGGTTTCCTTCATATTTCGGCCTGTCGAGCAGAGCTACCGCTCAAAGGAATGTGCCGAGTTTCGGGAAATAAGAACATGGGTTTAAGTTGTCGCATATGTACCGATTCTCTCTGTTTTCGATCATGGAAATATTAAGAGTTACAAGCCTAAAAATATAAGTAACAATTGTGTTAGTACCTTAACAAACACTTTCTCTGTAACTGCCACTCCAACAAAGTTTTTAACAATAATCGTTATTTGCACTCTGTGTTGATCTTCTGGTTTTCCACTAGGTAACACCGTTGAAACAGACTTTGGAGAGTTTCCATAAGAAATTGGATCGTCTCCAACGCGAAATTCATAGCTTAAAGGCTTACTTTTATCTTCCCAATTCAAACACTCAAAGATGAACTCTGTTTCAAGTGCCACGCCTTCGCTGACCGATGGCGTGCAATGCCCGCTGTGTGGCGCCCCAGCGGTCTCAAAATCCAATACACCAAACCCTTGTGACCCTGATTGCGAAGTCACAATCAGCTTTAGAGTAAATTTTGTGTTTGAGGGCAATACGTCCTTCTTGAATATCATGTTACTCGCATTTAATGCTGTTGAAGTCATATTGGGGAAAATAGTAACATCTTCCGGTGTATTCGTTGTATCATTTTTCTTTTGCAGCCGCCATTGGTAGACTGAATCATCGCAAGGAGCATTGGAGCACTCCGATGTCACTCGAAGCTTGTTTGAAGCCGAGACTATGGTTCCACAATCTACAAAGCACCTTTAATCAAAATAAATTTGATATCAAACGTAGTTACGTTTCGTTTTCAGCCTGTTAAAACAATTATTTCATAGGTAGCATGAATCTAAGCGATAAGGATGATTTGCATCTCTTAAAAACATTTTACCTCTTTTCATTGTTACTTCTATATCTGTTTTCAATTAGTCTATTTAATTCTTTATTCATTTCAAAGCCAATTAACTGAATTGGCCACATACCATTAAAATAAAAATGTAATGTCAAAGACTTTCTTTAGACAATATTTCGGCTGCTTGACTTACTGTTGTATTCAAGGCGTTTACAGCGTCCTGATCAATTACATTATCACATTTACCTCAGTTTTACTTGAGGTATCTCGCCGGCTGCTATCTCAAAAGTCATCTCAGCAAAGGCACTCCTCACATCTTTAGACACATTTAAACATAAGACATACGTCTTTCCTATATCAAGTACACTGGTGTCAATACTAACTGCAAGGGCATTTGCTCTATCAACAAAGGCACCAAAACAATCATTGTTCACTGAACCATTTTCAATTGCCTCACGACAGTACCAAGTAAATTCGACTCCATCATGATTACCAGGGCCAATGTCTCCGTCGTAGCTTAGTGAACCATCCACTGTAACAGTTTCTGCTGATCCCCAACGAACACTGCTCCCACCATCAATGATGGCTCGTAGAGGTGCAGCAATAACCTCAATAAAACCGAAGTTGAACGCCTGGATAGTCTGTGGAGCACTTGAATCTCCAATTTGAAAAGAAGCAGTAAACTTGACTTGGTAGATTCCCACAGGTATAGATCTCCTATTTATAATCCATTCACTGCTTCCTTCTCTTTTTAAGGTTCCTTCTGCTGACTCTGAAGCTGCTAATTCAGCTTCACTCACCAGACGCCATTGCAAAACACTTTGCAACACGGGCGCATTTTCTGGTAAACCTTCAATTAGTGCTTGTTGCACACTTTTAACAGATCGCTGGACAACAGTAGCGTTATATTTGTCCTTGGACAT